TCATATCTTTGAGTTTTTAAAAAAGCACACATACAAAGAGAGAGAGAGAGAGGTTCTTCAGACTGTCACAACTTCATAGAAATTCATCTTTCTCCCTCTGCCTTAATCAGTCAGTGAATCAGATCTGCCACAATCCAACTGGGAGTTATTAATTGTCTTCAAAGAAATAGCAGCTAGTTGACTGGAGTACAACAAAGGAAGTTTTTCTTAATGTCTCCTGTGGGATTCCTTTCAGGAAGGAAGAGAAGATTTAAATTTCTCTACTGCTTTGTCATGTTGCTGGCTGTGAGCACAGACATCAGTCTGTCGACAAAAACGCTGCCGACTTGAGCTGGCAGTGTTCAGTCATAATTTCTGGCCAATGTATTTCACCATACATCACACCATACATCACATCACCATACATCACATCACCACAGCGTTACACCATACACTGCTATTTACACCACATATTACACCATACATCACATCACCACAGTGTTTAGATCAAGGGCAGTAATGGTACCACTCTATTCTGCTTTGGTCAGATCTCACCAGGAATACTTGGTCCACTTCTGGGTTGCACAATACCAGAAAAACCAAGCATCTCAGAAAAGCAAAAGAGATCGTCAAGGCTTTGCTGTCCAAAGTGTTGTTCTTGTTGTGTGCCTTCAAGTCATTTCTGACTTATGGCGACTCTAAGATGATGGGGAAGGAAGTTTTCCATTGCCTTCCCCTGAGGCTGAGAGCATGTGACTTGCCCAAGGTCACCCACTAGGTTTCATGGATGAGCAGGAATCAAACCCTGGCCTCCAGAGCCATGGTTTAACACTAAAACCAGTATGCCACACTGGCTCACAAATATGCCCCAGAGTTGTTGCAACCCTTGCAAAAGCAATTAATCCCAAGGAGAATTAATATCTGTTGTCGAAGGAATTGTCCTATTTAAAGGTTTTGCTTAAATGAGCCAGTAATCTTTAAGGATATAGGATAATTATTTAAATATTGATTCCCTCATTCCCCCATTGCTGGAATTAAGAGTAATTTTCTTTTAAAAATTATTATACTGAGACAAACTGAACTGTTTAGATTTCTTCCTCTCCTTGGAGACTGCAATTTTACTACTCCCATTTGAATCACCCGCGCCTGCATTGAGTTTTTGTCTGATCCTGTATGTGTCTCTCTGCTCTGGGTGCAATTTACTCTATGAATTATCTGTCTTTATTTTGAATATGTACTCTTAATAAACATTTTCACTTTGACTTAACTCTGCCTAGTTTGGGCTCCCCAGTTAACAGTTTAGCAGCCTGTTCACAACAAAGAGAAACAGACTTCCTGCCAATATCACATTTTGGCAGTCATTAGTTAAATCCTTTTAAAAAATGCTCAGAAGACAGTAACAGAGATGACTGTGGTGAGGAGACAATGGTGGATCCTATGTAGGCATCCTGTCCAAAGTCAGTTAATAACCTGTAAACAGCATGAACTGCCCCTGTACCTCCCTTTCAAAGAAAATTGGTTAGTTGTAAAACAAGGTGCTGTAGGCTATATTTCATAGGAAGGAAGCCACCTCTGAGTATAAGGTGTTAAAAAAAGAAGTCAAAACCCTAAGAAACTCATGGGATGGCCATAAGTCAACAGTCAACTTGAAGGCACATACACACAATAATCCCTGTAAATAGCATCACCACCAGTGGATGGCGGCATCTCTTTATGTTTTGTCTCCAATGGGATGCTGTTGAAGATGCATTTTAGCGGCTCATGAGATGGCTAAGAGTTGGTACAGGACAGTAGACCATAAATCTTTGTTTTCTTTTCTTTTTTTAATGCAACATCCAAGTGAGATTGGGAAGATAGAGAATGGATTTAAAAAAACCTAAAATGTTAGTGTTAGCCCCAGATACAGTGCACCCATTGAATCAAAGGGATTTTCCTACATGTTGATTCATCATTCAGCAATTGATTCAATGGGCTTGCTCTATGTAAGACTAACCAAGAGTACATTTTTCATCTATGTTGTGACAGTTCCATATTTTTAAGTGGAAAAGCAGGCAGCCCATTTCTCAGGTAGAACATCAAGTGACACTTTTGTCCTAATTAATGTGACTACAATGTTAATACAGGTTGAGTCTCCCTCATCTGAAATGACTGGGACCAGAGGAGTTTGGAAGTTATTTTTATTTTTATTTTATTTTTTGGATTGTGGAATACCTGTATTTGCATATAAACACATAATGAGATATCTTGGAGATGCGGCACAAGTCTAAACACAAAATTCATTTATGTTTCATATACACCTTATACACATAGCCTGATGGTAATTTTATACAATATTTTATTAATTTTGTGTCTGAAATAAAGTTTGTGTACACAGAACCATCACTATATCAGTTACCCATGAAAAAAAAGTTTTAGTTTTTGGAACATTTTGGTTTTTGGAATTCCGGATAATGAAAACTCAAATATAGTTCAAATTGATGAACAAACAGATACGCCTATATGTAGGTTGGGGAGAGTGAAGTGCAATCTGTGGCCCACATGAGAAGACTCCAGGGCCATCAGAGCCTCCCATAGGTAAAAACAAATGTAGGTGATGTGATGAATATATTTAAATTTTGTTGTTATTGTGTGCCTTCAAGTCATTTCTGACTTAATGGTGACCCCTAAGGCAACCCTATCATGAGGTTTTCTTAGCAAGATTTGTTCCAAGCTGAGAGAGTGTGAGTTGCTGAAGGTCATCCAATGGTTTTCATGGCTGAGCTGGGAATCGAATCCTGGTCTCCAGAGTCATAGGACTTTATCACATGGGGCAAATCCTGTGCAGAAATGGGGTTTTAAATAGGAAAACGCAAAAACAGGTAGATTTTCAGACAACGTCGCTTTTAAGCTATGCTTAACCCAAACAGAAAGTAGTCAAAAACCGCTTCTTTTTACTTTCGGAAGTAAAAATACTTTTTACTTTCCCCTAAAGTACTTTTACTTTTTACTTTTTACTTTCCCCTAAAAATAGGAAAGTGAAAAGGAACCTGTCGCGGTGCTGATGACTGAACATTCACCTTCATGCTCAGCTTCCGTATATGTCTAAACAAAAGGCCTATCACAAAAATTCCACCCAAAATAAACATTTGTTTGTTTTTAATTGTATTGTTTAATTTGTAAGCCGCTTTGTGTCCCAATTGTGGTGGGAAAGCAGGGTATAAATAAATATTATAATAATATTATAATAATAAACTTCAAGGGGTCTCCTTGGAGGGTAACTGGATCTGGGGTAAGTGTTAGAAGCCCCAAAACATCTTCCCCTTTGGAAGTAGGATGGAAGGGCATAACATGGAGGGATGCACAGACAGGGGATATGTGGCCGAAGTTACACATCTGAAAGCAAGCCCTGGGGAAGTGAGATTGATTTTTAGGTAAAAACACAGCAAAGATTGAGTTTTAAAGCAGGGATGAAGGACTTTCCCCCATTAAACAGCAGCACACTTGGGGATGTACCAAGAAGTGTTGCAAATGGGGAACTGCAGACTAGTAGCGGATGGGACTGAAAACAGGGATGAGCATGGCCAGAATCTAACATGGATAGGGATCATCACTTCTCTCTGTCACACACACACACACACACACACACACACACACTTTTTCCTTCCCCCTTTCCCTTCCTTCATTCCCTTTTCATCTGGAGAGCAGCCTGGGGAGGGATTGATTGCTACAGATAGAAATCTTAACTGATCATTTGCAGAAGGATTCAAAACCCACAGCTACATATTGCCCACCTCTGTTCTAAATGTTTTCAATGCATTGAACTCAAGCCCAGAGTCCTGCAAACTGTAAGTCCAGTTTGGGACTATGCAAGTTTGGGGAGAATCCTCTGGATGACATATGAACACACAACCTGGGTCTATGCACAATTGCAGAAGTGCAGTGTAACACTGCCTGGGTGCTCCATGCCTTGCCCCAGCCACTAAATAGCCATGAGATCATGATCACCAGTAGAAAGCTGCCTTCCGCACAAGGTGGAAGTAACAACCCAGAGCATGGATGCTGGATTTCAGCCATGAAAATATCCTTTCATTGCAGACCCAAAATGTTGTCAACCAATGTTCTGTAAAACATGCCGGTAGGGTAATTTTGGCCATTCCTTCTCTGACAAACCAATGCAACAAAGAGAGGCCCTGTTCCAATAACAAGGTAGCATAATGTATGTTCTTTCCAGGGAAGTTATGTGGTACTTGCAGTATACAACAAGAGGATCACACCATTGCACAACCAGATGCAAATCTGGAACTATGCTGGTGTATGCTTGAAATAGGAAATCTGAACATAAATTTTCTATTTGCACTAACAGATGGAGTTAAAGAACACAGTCACTTATATGGCAATTACGCTAGCAGAACTCCACTTGTACATGCACAAACAGCATACATTCATTGTACCATAACCAAAAAACCCACAACTGTTGGTGTAAAGTTGTTGTATCAACAGGATTTCAGCCAAAACTTCCATAACACCATGATATTTCTTCAGGATAGAACTCTAATATACCAGCCCAACATTGTCTTGGCAATGGATGAATATTCCAGTGTCTTGGCAATGGATGAATATACATTATTGATAGTAGAGCTTCTGCTCCCCCCCCCCCCCTTCTTCATACTATTCTAGACAGTCAGCTTTCAGATTCATCTGGTTTATTTTGCAGCATTGACTTCAAACCAAAGTATTGCTTTCTGCCATTAATGAAGTACACGTGTTGCCCTCACAGCTACAGTAGAAATGCATTTGATTGCTCAGTGAACAAGATAATGCTATCAGTCTTAGCAATACACCAAGGAGATGCCACTTTATTTAAAAAGTTAAAACAAATTTTATTGTTGTTGTGTTTCTTCAAACTGTTTCTGACTTATGGTTACCCTAAGGCAAACCTACCATGGGGTTTTCTTGGTAAGATTTGTTCAGAAGGGTTTGCCCTTGTTTTCCTCTGAGGCTGAGAAAATGTGACTTGCCCAAGGTCACCCAATGAGTTTCCATGGCTGAGCAGGGATTTGAATCCTGGCCTCCAGAATCCTAGTCCAATGCTCAAGCCACTACACCATGGCAGCCCTCATAACTGGTTTACTGGTACCAATGTTGACAAGTATCAGATATGGACAAAATGAAATTATCAGAAAAGCAAGCATTTAAAAAAAAACATCAACTTACACATTTCACATTTCCATATCCATTTTCTTCATATCTTATATACGTTTTTATCATTGCATAAAACCCTTGAAGAGTAAGCATTGGTAATACAATGCTTTAACTACACAACAAGAGGATCATACCATTGGACAACCAGTTGCATATCTGGAACTGTGCTGGTGAATGCTTGAAATAGGAAATTTGAACATATATGCCCCATTTACACTAGGAGATGGAGTTAAAGAGCACAACCACTTATAAGGCAATTGCAAAGCAATCAAGATTAAGGCAAAGATCAATCAATAAACACTTCCTAATAGGCCAACTCCATTAAAATAACCTGATCTGCTATCTTAATGCACCCTACATGACGTGGAATTCTATAAATCTCTGGACTGACTGTGCTACCCACCACTTGTGTTAACATGGTAAAATTGTACAACTGAATGCACATCTGCATGTGCAAATACAGATCTGCCCACACTCCTGGATGTGCAATGACATCGCATATATACAACTCTCACAAGCTTGAACGCAGACCTTCTGCACTGGACAAAAATGTCTGCTTGCTACTGTCAGAGAGCTTATGCATGCAAAAGACAGCAACAGGATTCTGACCATAGAACTATATGAGCTGGACAGTGAAGAAAGCAGATAGGAAGAAAATTAATTCATTTCAGATATGGTGCTGGAGAAGAGTGCTGAGGATACCATGGACAGCCAAAACAAACAAACAATTGGATCCCAGAACAAATCAAGCCTGAACTTTCCTTGGAAGTCAAGATGACTAAATTGAGGCTGTCAGCCAAATCATGAGAAGGCATGATTCATTAGAAAAGGCAATAATAACGCTGTCCTCAATCCCAGGAAGGGGAGGGGCAGCCGGACGCTAGCGCTGGGCACCCCATCCCCTTCCTGAGGACGTCATCAGAGCGATGGCCCATCCGCATGACAGGCGCTCCGATGACGTCCTTCCAGCTCAGCATCCAGACACGCTGAGCCGGAAGAGACATCAAAGAGGTGCACCACGCCTTTTGCGGCACCCCTTTTGCAGCTTGCGGAAGGAGCACCATTTTAGCGCTCCTTTTGTAGGTGGCGAAAGGGAGGATCAGGGCCAAGGTGTCCATCAGCCTCGGCCTTGATCCTCCACTTCTGGGGGTGGCCCGGGGCCTCCCGTCTGCATCCCCCCCAAATGCTAGGAAAGGTAAAAGGCAGCAGAAAGAGAGGAAGACCACATGTCAGATGGATGGACTCAATCAGGGAGACCATGGGACTGAGCCTACAGGACCTGAGTAGGGAGGTAGAGGATAGCGGATAGAGGATAGGGAGTGCTTAAGTGCACTGATAAATGGTATAGAAATGTACTTGCTGTTGCTATTGCTATAGCGGGGTTTGGAGACATCTCATCCACAGGGTCACCATGAATCAAGATTGACTCGAAGACAGCTAACAACAAACAACAATCTCATTATGTTGCTGGGAGACATATCCAGGAGTGTGCTGTTGCCCTGCTTGTGAGCTTTCCACAGACACCTGGTTGGACACTACGGTTGAGATGATACATCAAGCAACCCTATTCCCAAAGATAGCTTCAGGTGTTGCCTGGTGGTGCAATGGCTAAATGCAGGTACTGCAGACACAAGGTTTTGAGTTTGATCCAGTCTTCCATCCTTTCGTAGGTCGGTAAATGAGTCCCCAGCTTGTGGAAGCAATTGGCTTACAAATTGTAAACTGCTTAGAGAGTGCTGAGTTCACTATTAAGTGGTATAGAAATATAAATGCTAAATGATATTGTTGTTATGTGCCTCCAAGTGGTTTCTGACTTATGGTGACCCTAAAGTGACCCTATCACAGGGTATTCTGGGGCTGAGAGTGTGTGATTCACTCAAGGTCATGTAGTGGGTTTTCATGGCCAAACAAATCCCGTTCTCCAGAGTCGAAGTCCTACACTCAAACCAGTACTCCACACTGAACAGCTCCTTTAAATTTTAGACTGAAGCTTGGAGTAGATTCATCACCCTGGGTGACAAGTAATTAGTTTTTCCTCTGTTAGAATTGGGCCACAAATATACCAGATTCAGTGAGTTGCTGTGTCAGCGTGAAGGTTTGGACAGGAGGTGGCATACCAAAGAAATTTTAATTAGCTATTTAATCTGCAGCAGTTTCCTTCCAAACTTTTCAACACTTACAGAGTTTGAAAGTTCACCAGCCTTTAATTGAGGGGGGAAATGTCTTGAACCTTCTTCTGCTTCCCTTTGATAGAATAGCAGCTGAAGTGAAGCCAGAATGTAATACCTAGGAGACCACTTGGGCTATTGTTTTCAGACTGACCTATTGTCTGCCTTGTCATAAAACCTTCCCATATGGAAAGAAAGCTCTGCTTTTGCTCTCTAGCTGCCAAGGAACCAACTCTTGTCTAGTGGAATGGTTTCTGTTTGCTTACACACACAAGTCACACACACACACAAACGTATTGCTATTGGCTGATGACATATATTTGTGATTATCTCTGCATGAGAGTATTTTTCCAAGCTCCTTAGAGCCATACTATGCTTAATTATATAGATAGATATAGATATATTATCTAGAATTCAGTAAAGAGAGAAGCATATAGGACAGAAGATGGCCACCATTCTACAGTCTCTGCAGTGGTGACTGAGAGGCCATAGGATCTGGTCCATCTCACTTTCCAAATACAGTCAGTCCTCCACATTTGCAGCTTTGACTTTTGCCAATGTGATTATTCGCAGATTTGATTAATATGTTCTCTCTATGAAACTCTAATCTAGGTCTTCCAGCATGACTCTGCCTGAATCATACTTGTAGACCTAGAGATTCCTAGAGAAAACACCTCTCTAATAATAATAATAATAATAATAATAATAATAATAATAATAATAATAATAATAAATTATTTATATCCTGCCCCTCTGCAGAGTAATCAGAATTTGTAGGTCCTCCAGCACAATTCTATGGTAAACTTCCATATGTTGACCATAGAGTTGCGCTGGAGGACCTAGAGATTCCTAGTTCTAGAGATTCCTAGATTCTGCTTTAATTGTCATTTCATCCTATGGAATCCTGGGGTTTGTAGTTTGTTTTGGCACCAAAGCTCTCTGACAGAGAAGGCTAAAT